ATTTGGCATATCTAAAAATAAAAAGAAATGCAGAAAGTAATTTTAATTTTTTCCTTTATTTCATTAAAAGTACATATTGTAAATAAATATTCCCTCGAAATAAAGTAACCTAAGCACCTATAGGGTTAGAATTACAATTTATCACCTGCAGCATTAGCGCATTATAATTGCTCTATGAGATGCAGATCGATTTAAAGAATTCATATATAGACATACATATATATATAGTATATATATATATTTATAATTTTACACTTGGTTTATCTTGCTTAGTGTATGCAGAAGCGCTCTAGGCCTCTACTAAAATATTGTGTTTACGACCTCTATAACTGTACAAAATTCGGCCGAAACTAGTGTGTCAAAGTTTTATGTTCTCCTTGCAATTTTCCAGTTAATAATTATTGTTTCTTAAAGAAGACTGGAAAATTTCTGTTATTCATTTTAAATGCTACGAGAGAGAAATTTTCTAGTCCAAATCTACGGATTTTTTATTGTTTTTCTGTGCTTCCAAGAAGCAGTGCCCTACATGTAAAGAACTTTGTAACGTTTCACTGTGGCTCATTACTTCTGTTGCTTCTCTTGAAAAATATCGATCTAGCCAGCTTATCTGAACGACATTCAGAATTATGAAACAAAAATTAGTTTATGTCGTACATAATTTTTCTCAGAAGGAAAAAAATATTTCTGTTTAAACGCAAGAAATGCCTTCTTTGCTGACTAATACTTATTTGCTTTAGCCGCCTAATAAAAATGCAATGCCGTATCTCTGCTGTTTTGATAACCCAATATTTACTTAAATGGTACAAAACTAGCTATCAAATCTCTTCGTTTACAACTGAAAGCCACATTATCTGTATTCTTCAAATCTGTAAGCATCATCTAAACACTATCAGAAATCCTTATCCATTTTAACTTCATGAAGAAAGTGCTTTCTGCCTTGAAAAAACTAAAGTTTGGGTGCTGTTTAAAAACACTGTTCTTGTAGGTAATGCAATAAGGTAAATATGTAATAAGGAATTTCTATTCAGGTTCCATTAGTAAATGAAACTTTTGGATTTAAATTGATGTAAAATTCTAGCCAAATATATTTACTTGAGTATTTATTGAAACACCAAGCCTTTAAAGACAGCACTGTTGATTATTTTTTTGAATCTTGATAATGACAACTATACAGTATGAAATTAAGACTATTTCAGAAAAGTTTGCAAAACATGCGATTTTTCACATAATAAGGAAAAATGCGTGAAGAAAATTACTTCGTTTAACACTCAACAATAAACTCACATGATTTGAAAATTATTAACAGAGATCTGTGTAGACACTTCATTGCTCGAAGGCAAAATGCACAGTGGGACTATACTTTGTATTTATCTCACTTAAGAATCTGGTTTTATTTATTTATTGGCATCTCATCGCTTACAATTTCAGAGAAGCTGGAGATCTTTGATATAATGTTTATCATTAGAATTGTAAGGCATGTATAATACAAGTAGATACCAAAGTACAGCCAGCATAGACTAATGCTTATAAGAAAAGTTAAAATTTAAAAAAAAAAAGCTTTAATTCATTCATTAAATTGAAGTATTATATAATAAATTTAATATATGAGAGATTTATTCTATTAATACAAAGAAAAAACACATCCAAAATCAAAAGTAAAATTAGTCAAAAACTCAGCTGGAAGTCGATTTAGTAGTAAAAAAATTCCGATGACTTCCTTATACGGAATATTAAATTATACGCAATTTTCCCTGCATTTCGTTTAAACTTATTTCCTCGAATTTCGTTAGAGATATATTTCTCATTCAATTAATTTAGTTCTACTTCGCGGTAAAGCAAAAGTACATAAAACCTCAAAATATCTTTACTAAAAATCGGAAAATATGGAAAAATATAAAACACCAAATACAGCTACTAAACAATTAAAAAAATTAATTTAATTTCAACTCTAATTTTTTTACAATGAAAATGTAAAATATAGAGGAGTTTCTACCCAAAAACAAGAAATTCGGCCAGCGGACAGAAAGGCAGAGTTTTCGGTGCACAAAGCTGAAAGTTTACTTTTGGTCCCATTCGGCAAAAAGGCACTGAAGGTGCAGAAACTGTCTTTATTCACTATTCTGCTAAGTTTCAAATGTAAACAAATGTGGCTTTTATGGGAAAAAAATAAGCTTAGCGTACAGACGTCACGAAAAAATCTCTTCTGAATCCGTTTTAAATCCTTTTTGCAACCCGTTTTGGGAAAAAGATCCTTACGTGCACATGTCACGCAAAAACATCCTTAAATTGCATTCGATAGCTGTCAAAATGGATATTTTCGTTGAAATATGATACCCAAAAATTTTCGCGATTACAATACTTTACTTCGTACAAGGAAGGAAAGAAAAAACTCTATTGACTTTAAGAGTGTCAGACAATGTGGGCCCTCTCGTTTAAGAAATATGCATTTTGGCACAATACTTATGTTTCTTGGGAAAAATGCTGCTTGACTTTCTCGAAGTTAAAGAGTTTTCTGATAAACTAACGTCAACTAACAATTAATAAGCAAAAAAAAAATAACTTATAGGAAAAAATTCTTGGGTTCGACGCTATTCAATCAAGCAGGCTTTCGGATCGCACACGAAATGCACATCAACAGATGAATATTAACATTGCCGGACGAAGTGTTGAGATCTCTTTTTCAAGACATCAGCGCCTATTTTTTATGTCTTAAAATATGTCTTGTTGAAATATGTTTTATGTTTTTGGTATGTTATTCAATATTTTTGGTATGCATTTTTAGCTCAAAGAGCGTTAGCCCAGAAGGGCTATTAATCTCATTTTGGCATTTTGAGGCGTTTCACGATAAACGGCGTTTCAGTTTTCAAATTGTAGCCACCAAATATTAGAGCCCTGAGTTATTAAGACACAATAACACGCCGAATAAATACTAATTCAGAAGTTAAACAACAAAAATCAGCGTTAATTTACAAAATTTTCACAGGACTAGTTTCGATGGTTTTAAACCATTCGATGGTTTCGATGGTTTTTTTCGATGGTAAAAACATTTCTCCTCGTAATTTACTCATGGTGTCTTTTGATGTAAAATCATTATTCACCAATGTCCCAGTGGAAGGGTGCATTAAGATGTCTAGAAACCAGACTTCGCGAATTTCATTTCTCTTGCATCGAAATTGATGAGCTAATTTCTCTCACTCAACTCTGTTTGAAACAAACACATTTTGTTTTCCAAAATAAATATTACAAGCAAACTGAGGGATTAGCCATGGGAAGCCCCCTCAGTCCCATCCTGGCTGATATTTACATGCATTATTATGAATCAAAATTGTTTGAAACTTTAAACTTCCCGGTATGGTTCCACTACGTAGACGATACTTTTACCCTGTTTGAAGGTAATAAAGATGATTTAAATAAAGTTTTTCAACAATGAATTCTATTGATCCTGCTATTCAGTTCACTTTTGAACTTGAGACTTGCAATTCTCTTCCGTTTCTCGACATTCTGGTCACACGTAACACATCCAACTTCAGTACTACAGTTTACCGTAAACCTTCATCGGTTTGCCTTCCACCACACTTTAAATCATGTCATCCGACTAAACAAAAGTTAGCTTCATTTTATTCCTATGTCTTCCGTGCTCTTCAAGTTTGCTCCTCCAAACTAGCCCTTGATGAAGAACTAAATTATTTAAAAGCAATAGCTATTGACAGGGGCTTTTCACCCAACATTATTAATCAAGCAGTTAAAAAATTCTCATCTCAACACACTAAAAGCCACACTCTTATTTTAGGAGATTATAAAAATTCTGTTGTCATTCCCTTCTTTCCATCAATTAGCTATAAAGTTGCACATATTTTGCAGAAATTTAACTTTCGGGTTGTTTCTCTCCCATCAATAAAATTCCAACTTCTATACTCAAGGACCCCATTCCGGATATGAATTCCTGGGGTATTTATAGGATTCCTTGCCAGTGCGGTTTAATTTACATTGGCCAAACTAAGAGAGCCTTAAAATTTCGCGTCAAAGAACATGAGGCATATGTTAGAAAAAAGGAAACACAGAAGTCTTCTGTTGCTCAACATTGTTGGTCCGAAAATCACACTTTCAATTTTTCTGCTGCCAAAATTATTCAAAAAACATCTTCCATTGGAGAACTGGATTTTCTAGAGGCATTTCACATTCATAAAAATCTTTCTGTTCTAGTTAACGATCCTAATTCCAATCCAAATCTGCCTTCGGCTTTTAGAGAAATTATGTTTTAGTTCTGGTTTCGCCAACAGATGGCGCCATTTGCTTATTCTTGTCCAGGCTTTCTTATCTTATCTAAACATTATTTCCTATCTTGTTCATTTGCGGTTTTGCAGCTGAAGATGATGGTTCGGTAAAACCATCGAAACTAGTCCTGTGAAAATTTTGTAAATTAACGCTGATTTTTGTTGTTTGACTTCTGAATTAGCCCTGAGTTATGTTTAAAGAAATTAAATAATGAAAAATATGCATGAATGTATGTGAAAAATGTGAAAAAACAACGGTACCTAAAGACATTAAATTTTGAATAAGTAGTCCTCCACTAGAATATTGACATCTGGAAGTCCAAATTTGGAATATGGAATTAGTTTTATTATCTATTTTATATTTCATAAAAATTTAACGAATTTTTAATTAACAAACTCGACGATTTCAAAGCTAGCAATGGCAACAGTGTACAGAGAAAAAAGAGAAAAAAACGTTTAGCTCCAATGCGCGAGACTGTGTATCGGAAATTCTAAAGATATGCTCTTTTAAATATTTTATGGTATTGCTGTTGAACTGAGTTTTATTTAAGTGCGAAGAACACATATTTAATAAAGAAAGGTAGCATATAAAACATTAAAAAAACGCCCTTTTGGGCGTAACATAAAATCTGAAAGCTTTCAGATTTTTTTCTATTATTATATTTTTCTTTCTTTTCTTTTTTTCCGTGAAATTTTTATATTTTTACGTATACTGCATTTTTCCAGATGTCGAAAGGAAAAACTCTGAAGAATACTTTTGGCTGGGCGCGAGTTAAAGTCCTAGGATTGCTGGTCAACATGCTCTTCTTGGTTGCTCTTTGCTTCGCCGCTTCTGTGGAAGCTGTGCAAACGATGGTTCATGCCTCCCACGAAGACACCGAACCACGATATCCCATGCTAATAGTCACTCTCGGAGTCATCAACTTCACTCTCAATATCATCTGTTTCATACTCATTGGAGGTATGTGATTCTATGGCATTTTAATGTGATCTCATATTATTGTACGAATAAATCTCTATATGAAACTCGATATGTATTGAATATTTTCGAACATGCGATATACAAATCACATGTTCTTCGGACAACTGAACTTAAAGAAGGGTCCAATGGACCAAATTGGATATTATTTTTGACACTACTGGATCTTTTGGAATGTGTTGTAAAAGCAGCATTTTCATAAGATGAATGCCAGGCACTGCTAAAGGTCAATATTTTATACTATTTTATGCGTGTTGAGTTTTCTTTTCTTACTGTTTTATTTGAGTCGCGGTATCTGGGACAAATCTTTAAATAACTTGTTTACTCACTTCTCACAAGCGGAATTTCTTGCCATTTCGCATCTATTTGTGATTACAATACAATATTTTACACCTTTTTTTTTTTTTTTTTTTTTTTTTTTTTTTTTTTTTTTTTTTTTAATTCGGGGTAAATTTTTATTTATTTGATGCAAAAAGAATTTCTTTCGAATTCTTCGCATTTATCCTTGAAAAATGATCAACCCAATCATTACAGTATTTCGGTCTTTGAACCGTTCAATAGATAGGAAATAATCTTCCTTCAAGCATGAACACATAATCTGCTCAGCAGCTAAAAAAATCTCACCTGCGAGTCTACAATACTGACAACAAAACACAATTATGAAGTTCCCATAATTACCAATTCTCCTGGTTTTTCATCATAACTTTCGGTAAATCACCGAATCTCCCAGTTACTTTTTAATTTTTACTTATAGGAGAACTACTAAGGAAAATACTTCCCAGCAGTAAATGGAATTTATTCAATTAATGAAACTTAAATTGTGCTAATTACATTCCCCCACCCGTATGATTTTCAGAATAATTTTTCTTCTTAACTTTAATTTGATTTGAATTATCTTAATCTACTGTAGACATCTGTAGAACATTTTATAACATTCAACCAGTAATCAAATATTTAATCAATTAATACCTGTATTTAATTTTGCTCTACATAAATATATGGTACATTACTAAATTTATCCACAAATAGTATGTATGTACATTAACTATCAATTTTATTTCATATTTTTATCTCAACAATGAGGTGCTGTTGAAGACATTTTCTCTCCTTTTGTTTGGCATACCGAATGTGTTCCTTTAATCCTGAATTCTAAAGATGCGCAGCTTTGTCATGTGTATGCAAAAATGCATTCTTAATGAATTTTAATTCCCCACAAATAAAGGTCTGTTTTTATATCTTTTATTTCTAAGAATTTGATTTTATTGATAAGTTTAAAGAAAATCAGGAAAACATATTGTTTGAAGCATTTAGAAAATAGACGACTGAGTTTAGAGATGATTGGCAAACAGACGGTAGGGATTGCACTGTGCTAGTTAAAGCTGAATAGAATTAAAGTTGGAGAGTTTCCTAATGTGCGATATTTTATTTCATATTTCAAAGTATTTTGATACATAAAAGCTTTTCTTCCAAACTCAAGATTTTTTCAGAATAAAAGAGTAAGAAAAGGGCAGGATGAATTTACCTAATCTGAGAAGATCTGATTAAGTATTAATATATTTTACCTCAGAATCGTATTATAAAAAGTTCAATAAGCCGAACCATTCATTATAAAATAAATTCAAGTCAAACTGGAGTACTTTTGCAATGGCTTCAAACAGAGCGAAAATGTCCTGTTTTTTCATATTTTAAGGTTGCAGCTATGGTTTGGGTTTATTAGACTGTAAGGCTGCTTTATGTTCATTAACCAGTTATTTTGTGTTTCGGTTCTTTACCGTCAATTCTTCCTTCCATTTTTTTCGCCAGAATGCAAATTAGCTAGCTTATTTAAGATGAGGATTTTAGATTGTAACACAGAGCGTATTCTGCCTCTCGAGGCCACGTTATTAGGTTGCTAGATCAGATAAGATCTTTGGCCTCGCTTTATAATTGCGAATAATTAAATATCCACGCCGATTAAATTTTGAGCCAACTTCTCGTTAATTAATCTGCGTAGCCTTTGGGTACTAGCTTATTTAAATTAAATTTTACGTTTGACTTACTGTTACTTTAAGTTATCACTCCACAAGTGGTAGGCTGAGTTGTAAGCACCAAGTGTGCCTTCTGTTCTTGTTTAGTTTTAAATAAAAAGTCTTTTACATCCTTCTCAAGTTTCGATTGTTACTTTAGACTTAGTAATAATTCGCTGCCAGTCTATTTAAAATTTAGTTACATTTTATAATACCAAAGGAAATTATTACTAAACTTTATAAGTTTAGAGCAAAGCACTGGAAACCTATCTGCCTAAGGAAAGGGTTTCTTTCTGGAGAATTTTCTGAGTGACACTGGCTGGCTCATACTCCTGCTACCCAAGGGGGAAGACCATGGAAATGCCTATGTAGCCAGCCCGTTCGCCTGAAATCAAACCCAGTCGTATTATTTTTTTAATGTCTGTGAACTAAATATATTCGCAAATTTAACTCTCGGCCGCTGGTGAGCTCTAGATTGGCAACTGTGCTTTAGTTTTAGGATGTTCAATGTAAATACAAATCAGATTTCTTTGAAGAATCATTATCTATAAACATATTTGCCTCCTAGCAATTAACTGTCGTGTGCTTTGCTATTTAATCAGCTAAACAAACTTTATATATTGATCGGTTACCGAACTTTGCTTTAGCTGCATTTTAAATGGCAAATTAAATCCATAAATCTATTTTTTTTAATGTGGGTTTTTCAGTGCTAATGTCCCAGCAAATTCTTCCCCGCCTCCCCCCCCCCAACTGAAAAATGCAGTCATTGCTAAACCTTCCGATATTAGCTCTAATGCCATTCGTTAGAAAAACTGTTGCTTACTGTTTGCATTTTAAAAAATGATTTTACCATTAAAAATGTTCCTAATTTAATAGTGTAAAACATTATGAAAGTTAAAAGATACCACATATTTACCATTATGTAATATGTTGCATTAGAAAAATCTTTTAGTAGTTGCAAGTAAAGCTGTAAATGTTTATTAAAATATTAGTGAACATAAATTAAATGTATTTTAACATACATCAAATAGATACATTATTAAAAAACTGATAAACATTTAAGAAGTAATTTCTATTGATATTAAATAGCTCTGTCTGCTTATTAATATTATTAATAATATATTGATTCAAATAGAGAGGTGAATTAAAGATCTTATGCTTTGGCTCACTCGGAGAACCAACTATGTATGAGAAAGCGTGGAAGAAAAAAGTCTTGCGTTTCATGAAATGCAAGTACTGCTTCTAGTTTCTTTTCATTCTTCTCCTCCATCAGCTCAGGACCACCAGAGGCCGAGTGGTAAAATCGCCGAACAGTGGTAGTTCGGTCCGAGGTTCAAATACCACGAGCGGGCTGGCTGCATGGGCGTTTTCGTGGGTTTTACCATGTGTACGATGTATACGAGCCAGTTTCCCTTAGAAAGTCCTCCACGAAGGCATCCCTTCTCTTAGGCAGATAGCCCTCGAGGCTTTGTCATTAAACAACCAAACCTCCATCAGTTCCTGACACACGATTGCGGCTACAGATTTTATTTCACCTGGATAAAAATTTATACGTTAAATGAAAACAATATGTTTTGGTCAAGATTATAACAAATGAATGTATAAAGAAGCCTGCAGTCTATATTACTGAATATAGACTTAAGTTTCATCCTAACCTTAAGGTTTCATTGCAGACAATAAAGAAGCAGGGGGAAAAATGTAGTCATGACATAAAATTGCTACAAAAATATTGTCAGAAATCCAGATAAAAGGATTTTTTTAAATGCTTAGCACTGTATTTAGTAACGAAATATTTAGATGATAAAAGAAAAATTCTCCGTCTATTGGTTATAACGTCTATGTTGGACGCGATTTTATGGCAATTGAAATCAAGCTTTAGGAATAGCTAAAAAATAATTAATTCTTCGATGAAAAAAATTGCTGTGAACCTCCATTTTGGCTTGTTTCATACGCAGTTCTAATTAACTTTAATTGTTTTTGTTTTTTTTAATTATGATAAAAGTGAAAAAAACTTATGAAATAAAATTTATGATTATGATGTCAAATTATTTTGTATGCAAATTCAAATAATTACATCATCAAAAAAACTGAAAAACTGGAAATTGATTTTAAAAACTTTTTCCGAGACAGTTTATTCACTTCAGTGTTTTCTCTTTTAGGTTACACTCATCATCAAGGTTGTTCAATGATCATCCGGGGAACAGAAGTGGAAGTGAACTGTGTCCTCGAAACCCCAGCTGAGAACACCAATATTTTTAAAATTAAAAGTAAGCAACCAGATATGAAATGCTACTTTAGTTTTGATATTTTGCTTGTGAGAAAACTAATAAAAGCTTGTACTAACTTGTAAGAAAAAGATATAACTTGAGAGGAAATAATAGCACAAAATATGAGGAAACTAAAAAGTTTACAAATTTCAATGCATTATTTTGATGCACTGAAACGAAAGAAATTTCAGTTATAGAGCAAAGGTAGATGGAATTAAATTGTTAATAGATTATAATTAACGTGTGGTTAATTGGTAATTAGATTGTTATGATAATAAGTTACATTTTCATCTACCTTTGCACTGTACATCACTAATAGTAACTATTGTTCATTTATTTTTACGTATTTTATGTAAAATTAATCGTCCTTAAATTTTCTTAGGTAATGTTCTGCGTTATATAAAACTTTATGAGATAGAAATATATTAAATTTTATACTGGCTCAAATACGTAACAATAATTTCACTACATTCTCAAATGTAGTGAAAATAATATATAAAAATAAAAAAAGTAATATTTAAACTTAATCAAGTCACTTGCACTTATAGCCTCTCCTTGACATTATATATTTTAACGAATTTAATTCGCTCAACAACCTGTTGTTTGCTACTATAGTCCCATGCTCATATTCAGTATTATATAGTAACGTATATTTTATTTCCAAAGATTTGCCTGTACATCAAGTTCATCTTTTTACTATGTTATGGCTGTGAAAAATTTATCAACAAACTGAATGATTGGTTGATTGATTAATCAAGTTAATTTAATACCTTGATCAACTAATTGTGAAATGGTGTAGGTAGCACTGTTAGTTAGGCATTATTGTCCAATTAAAGAAACTGGATACTAATGGCTGTTCTTAAATGATCTTCCTTAAAATTAAGATTTCATTCCTCTAGCACAGAATATTCAAATTAGAAGAAATGAAATAGCGGACAGCTGAGGCTACACTAAATTATTTACCCATGGCTTTCAAAAGAGACTCATTTTTGAGTATAAAAAGTATTAGCACGTGTTTCTTTATCCCGTCGAATGAAATGATGAAGAAAATCAGTTCTAAGCATAGTCTAGATTTCTCTATTAATTAGACCAATTATTTCTGGCTGCAAGAAGAATGAATTCGGCAGAAATTCAGATGTTATCGTTTATGAAATAAAGTTAGAGATACAAATCATAGTTTCTTTCATACAAATTATAAATTTTACCAAACTGACTAAGCACAGACTGATACATGGCTTTACTAAATATAGTTATTTTAATAACTGTAGAGAACTCTTTCACTTTGATGTGTCTGAAAGTTATGTTACGCTTTATTTTTAGAACTATGTAATGACCATCACTAGGTGCCATACTCTTTATTGCTTGGAACTGAGAATAGGTCAGATTTCATCTGTTTAATGCCCTTTCAAATGCATTCACTTTGCTAAACGTATGTAGGATATTTAGCGAGAAGACATTTGCATTCATAGAATTGCATTGGGTTAGATTGTGGGTTTGATGACTCAGCCTCACTGGATTATGACGCGCCAAACGCGTGGTAATTAGATTCCATCTTGTTAATTTGAAGTCACAGGAGAGATCTGACCAGGAGAAATGATCATTGCGTTCTTAGGGGCATTTTAAATGATGTTCTCATGTGTATGTAATAACTCAGTTTTTCACATTTCATAATAATCTGTTTTCTTCTTCATTGGTTCGACATCCCGGGATGGACCCTGGCTTCTCCAGAAGTCGTCTCCACGCATCTCTGCTTTTGGCAACTGTTTTCTAGCTTTTGACCTTTAGAATGCTTAGGTCATTTTCAACACAATCAATTCGTCTCACCGGGGGTCTATTCAGAGGCCTGTTTCCCATGGGCTTTGCCAGAAAGATTTTCTTTCAACACCTGTTATCATGTTTTCTGGCCAGATGACCAGCTCATTTTAAGTCTCTTTATTTTGAAGAATTTTACTACATCAGGTTGTTTATAGATTTTGTATAGCTCTAAATTAAATACTATACTTCACAGTCCATTCACACGGACCCCACTAAGTATGCAACTTAATCCTTCTTTTAAAAATCCCCAAAGCTTCCTCATCACGCAAAGTCAGCGCCCAGGCTTCCAATGCATAAGTCAGGACAGATCTTATAAGCCTCTCATAAAGAAGTAATTTAGTTCTTAACTTGAGAAAGCTGGATTTTAAATAGCTTTTCAGGCCATGAAAGCGTTTATTTTCAGCAGAGTTTCTTTTAAGTATTTCAGCAAGCTGTTTTATGAAATGCAGATTTCTTGCGCTTGAGCTCTTTGCTATGTAATATTAACTTACTGATATAAATTGTAGACGGTATTATTGAAATGAAATGCTGTACTCTGAAAGAAATGATTCATTTTATGCATTCTAAAGAAAATGGCTCCAAAAATATAATTTCCTTTTGATGTTTAAATTTCAATCTCATTATGTTCATTTCTAATTTAACGCTTAATATATGAGGATCATATGTAAAATAATGAAACAAATTGGTTAATTCTTTTATTAATTGACCCAGAACGTTCAAACTACACATAGAGAGACTTATACTTTACGTAAGAATGTAATCATAATTTTCTTCATTCCGTGTAAATAATGGATACAATAAGAACAAAGTTCCGTCATTGAGTTCTTGACAAAGGAAGGGTGCAGCTATTCTAACATCACAGAAGGCTTCAGAATATTTATAAAAAGGGTATCACTGACAAGAGCAATGCGCTCAGATCGATTAAGAAGTTTAAAGAAGAGGGAACCAGGTTTGAAGGCAAACCATTCAGTAAGAGGCCGTCAGTTGCAGTTAGGATCACTAATTCTCAAAAGATGGAAGATGGGGAAGACACTGAACGAAATTTTTGCACAAGGGTAAATGATGATCACAATGCAATACAAAAGTAAGAAAGAGGGAGAAGACTTCGGATATGGTAAAAGTATGTAATTTGATTCTTACAACCAGGGCCGGTGCCAAAGCATATGCAACAGGTGCAGCCGCACCGGGTGGTGGAATTTAGAGGCGGCAAAATTTTTAAAAATTTAGGGAGTTACTGAGCGGCAGATTTTAGGAATCGAAGGCTCAGGTGCGTAAGCACGTGAAATCAGGCCCCTGGGCTAATAAGCCTCATCCTGCGTGTAACGCATGGAGAAAAAAAACATGGCTTTCCTACCATTACATAGATGACAGTTGACAGAGAATTCCAGAAAAGGATTCTCGATGAAGCGAGGGTGAGCCTTACGTATAGCACATTCGGAGTTACTCCGACGATGGAAAGAAACGGTTACACCGCTGATGCGTGGGTAGAGGAAGATAGAAGCGAGATGTCAAGAATATAGCTGCGTGAATTCCCTGTAATCTGAATGGTTTTTAGGAATTGAAGTGATTGTATCGGGTGGCAAAAAGCAATAGCGTCGGCACTGCCTACAGCTGATATGAAAAAGAAATGAGTGGTCATTTGATCTGATTTGGGAATTTTGAAGGCAATAAAGAAGTTTTTCCAATTTTTTAAAAAGAACTAAACATAAGTGTACTTTTATAAGACAGAAACGATTGACCTTAGCAATGAATGGCGTTAGTCCTCTTCTGCAAGGCCTAAATTGTTTAAGAACCAACACTCAGCAAAGAGATTTGTGGTGAATATTTTTGAGGATAACAGGAGCATCATTCTTCTTGAAGTTTTTGAATATCATCGTATTATGACCAGAAGCGATACATGCAGATATTATTTTAAAGGTTTCGGAAAACCATTAGGAAGAAACGACCAGACAAGAACCTGAAAACAATCAACATTGATCATGATAATACATGCCATCAGACATCTTTTGGAAACAATTTATGCGATCAGCAAATTAAGCTGAATGGTAATCTTTCAATCGTCGTATATTATCAGTGGCCTTAGACTTCTTTGTTTTAATGTAGGACAATGAGCGGGGCAACGATTTGCTAAGAAAAAGAAAGAAAATGGCTATGAGGAGCAGTTAATTAGTGCCTACCTGAATTCTAGAATTGAATTCAACAACACCACAAAACATTGCTTATAATGAAGATTATATTTAATAATACCTTCGTACAGACGAAGAGACGCTCCAGCAAATATGGAGTTTGAACGAACATATTTGATAAAAAAAAAACATCAAGCCGATTTTTACATTATTTTTCGATACGACCCTTATACTGTGCGAAGTAATGGAAATACGGAATTCAGATGGAAGTTGTCCTTCTTTGCAGTTTGTAATTTAGAATTCCTTTCTTTTTAGGTTTAAATGGATTATAGATATCTGTTTCGCATAAGAATTAAAGTAATATTGTTCCTCTTCCTACTGCTCATAATATATGAAGCCTAAATTACTTAATTTAATCCTTAATAAGGAATAGAAATTCGCAATACATTATTTTGATCTTTAGAAAGAAAGTGCATAATAATAATGTTTTCAGGCACTAGTGTTCTTGAGTACGCAAACTAGCAAACTATATCGAAAGTAAAAGAATCAAAATCTGAGCTAAAATTATGATTTTTAATTTTCATTCTAATTAAGCAACTCTTACTTCTTATTTGAAGGTTAAATAAGCTTTTCATTTAATAATGATTCAATGGGCAGTCACTTCTACTCCATCTAACTGGAGTATTGCTCTGTGTAACTTGAATCAATTTTATCGAAATAAAAATTTAAGAATTTTTACATTCTCCTTGATTTGTTTAAAATATTCAACTAACGCAGACTGGAATTTTTAATCGATATATTTTGTTCTCTTAAATTTAGCAGCTTGGACTTTTGATAAAATTTAGCAGCTTGGACTTTTGATAAATCGAAGTATTTAAAATTTTTAATGAAATCAGCATACTGTCAACGTATGATTAGCGGAGTGATCACGTAAAAGTATACGAGCGAAAGGTATCTTGAAACATTCATTAAATCATGCCAAAATAACGATCTATTTATTTACATCATCTTCTCTCAGTTGCTTCACTTCTGTCTTATCAATGCCATTTTAGATTTTGTTTTTACAGCATCATTATCAATACGTATGTTCATGTATTGTTGTTGAACAAATGGCCATGAAAAATGGGATAGAGACTAGTTGATATACACCTCTAAATATACATTTTAAGATTATTCCAGGAAAATGATTTTTATGCTATTTTCTTTGAGTTCTTAGCTAGCTGATGAATATTTTTACCCCTTGCAGCGACTCGTTGGTGTGGTGATCATCAAATATTGGATATCTCCCGAGATATTTCCTCATGCTTGACTGTCATTGCCTGCGGTAGTGTCATCCTACTTCTTGATGGACTCATCCTCAAATATGCAGACGCTATGTTAGCTCTTGCTTCGGTTATCGTTCTTCTCTGCACAACATATCCTTTCAGTAAGTGATTTAACAGATTCATCTTTCTTTCTTTTAGTGTACCTTCCAGTCTTTACAAAAAAATTTCCATCTGTAGGAAAAAGAACATGAAAAATTCGGGAATTGAAATTTTGATGTGGCGCACTTCTGTCATTCCATATGCGATAGTTTGTAGCATCATAATTTTGAAAAAAAAATAGCATTTGGAAAAAAATTATTTCTAAGATCATTGATCATTACTGTTTTATTATGCTGTTCAAATTCTTTAATTGTCTGTCTTACTATATCCTTCATTCCTCCTAGAGCATAAATACAGCAGCCATAGATGTGTTTGTACATTAATCACGACTCAGGTTAAAATCTAATTAGTTTTTGACAAATAACTATTAGTAAGCATTTATATGGTGGTGTATTAATTTTTAGATCATTATTCCTGCTTTTGATACAAATTTTCATTCATCTTTATATACTCGTATACATTATGGCAAACACCATTCAAATTTAAAATTACGCAAAACAGCGTTATTCAAATATTTTTACTTATATTTTATGCTGAAAATATAAAAGAACTCTTGTTTTATATGCAGTACTTATTTTCTAGCAATATTAAATCAGAATTTGATAACAAAATTGAAATTTTTTAGATGCGGAAATAAGTTATTATTTTTAGTTACCTATAAAAAAACGTTGTTAGGAGTTGAGTGTTATTAGTGTTCATTTTTTAAAATTAATTTCGTTTTCTAATGAAATATTTCTTTTTATTAATAGCAGAACATGCCGTATTTCCTCCAATTTGCCAAACTATATCTTTAAACTTAATTCTTTATCCTTCCTCAGTTTTATCTGGACTATTAAAGACTCAAATTTCTTTTCTTTTTCTTGAATGAGTCTCTACCTAAATGAGTTACAAAGCATAAATATTAAGATCCAATCACTGCAGTTTTATTGCCTTCATTAATGCTACTTGGAAAGAACACGTAACAGAACAATAACTGGATCTTTGTCCGTAATTACGACTTTCCAAAGAGACAGGCACCTCAATTCCTTAAGGTCGACATTTTGCTAGCCAGGGTTTATATTTGGCTGGAGCCCTGTCATGTTCGTATCATAAAACACTTAAAATTTTTCAGTCGGAAAATCTTCGGACTACTTCAAAAGACCTAAGAATGTATCTTCATTCGTAATTACGATCCGCTCCTGAGATAGGTTCACTACGATTCATCGGAGCGCCTGGCTGACATAGCGGCTAGAGGTTACTACTAATACAATGGAAACACATAAATAAACGGCAATCTTAGAAATGCATACAGACTTGACTTTGTGTTGAGTCTTTGGCATATCCTAAGATCTCATGCCTGCCTGAAAACATTCAGAAGTTAAATCTAAAGTGGTATATCTAGCTAAAGTCGATCTAGTTTTTCTGGTTATTTCCTCTATAATTGGTAGGAAGTAAACTGAATATTTGGTAAGGCTGTTGAACAACTGCGAAACCTACGGCCGCAAACCATTTTCCACACTGACAGGTCTTGGAGGTCTAGAGCTTATGATCCTATAGAGGTTTAATTCTTCTTCTTTTATCATAAAACCGCTGGACTAGCATGGGAACTACTCGTAGGAATTATAATTTTACGTTTAATCATCTTCCTAATATGATTCTCAGTTATTTCCTCTTTAACATTATATCGATAGGGTTTTATTCTACAAGGGGAATTGTAACCGTCACAATGTCAAAACAACCTAGTAAAAGTGCTTGCTAGATTCCATAGGTTTTCATTCTCTTCCACCGACAGGTCTTGAAGATCTAGAGCTGGTAATGATACAGATTTCTCTTGCACTATAATCCTATCATCTGCCTGAAAATCAATACGTGCAGCCAATATACAACCCAGTTACCATATTTGCCCTCAAATTCCTTACATCGTAAAACAGAACAGGATACCTTTCATTCTTTTAGCTGACACTAAACATCATGCACTTACAATACTGACCTTATGCCATTACAACTTATTACAACAACCCCATAACTTTAAACAACTTATGCTTCCTGGAATTTTCCCTCATAAAAGTAGTGAAGAACTTACTTTCCAAGAAATTATTCTGTATCTTGTTATCCAGTAAGGTGACTGAATGAATTCTATGCAACACTACCTACATATGCGAGCTATTCCACATTCTTTAACAATATCGTATTTAGCCACTTGCGCTGGCAGTTAATTCACAAATGCGCATGAAAAAACATTACATTGTAACTCGCCGTGAAGCATCACTTGAAATGCGAAGACTCAATCTACTACAAAGAATTTGTTAATAATCTTGTAAACTACGGTATATTTCAAAGCTGTCTGGAATATATATTGCCATAAGACGTTCCTTGCATTCCCAAGTATTTCAATGCTTTTTTTTTCGCTTTGGACACATTATACACCTTTTCTGGAGTTCTTAAATAACCCCCTTAGCTTTTGTGTGTAAAATATTCCTTGGAAATGCTCCCATGGCTTTGCTTGTAAACGATATAGTGTGTTATCAGCAGACATCCATCCTTTCATGTTTGACTATATGTGCATCTTGAAATACGTGCAACTGTATGAGGTAATATATCGATAGTTCCACAATTTAGTGCAACCTTAAAGAGTACTCTTCGACAAAAAATATCAGTCGACGTACCGCTCACGTTATTTTTACTTTTGTGCCAACTGTTTATCAACATGTGCAACAAGTGTACAACGTGGCGGCTTTGAAACAAAATCATCTGAAAACATGCAAAACATCTCAGCATGTGCAATTGAAAAATTTCTTCGTATCTTGGGACGACTGACCTCTCTGATATTCAGCACCACCGTATATTAATTCTCTCTCCTTATTTGTTTTCGACCCGGCTTTTCTCTTATTATTTAAATCTTTTTCCATATTTCCTTGGCGATCCCCAGATTGCTTATTCGATGGAAGATAAAGTTGGCAATAATACTTCAAAAATCTGTAATACTGAAGAAGATTTTACCAGTACTCTAACAAGTAGCATGAAACCTGGGCCGATTATAAAGTGCACTGCAGGAAGGGGGAAGGACAGTTCTATAGCTCCCGTTCTACTGGGCCGATTGACGAAATTCAAATTACGTTTTCCATGTCTCTAAAGCGCGACTTAGCATATAAATTAGATTTATATATAGCATTGTTCTAATATAGATATTGTGACACAAAATCGGACCTTTTTCTGTAATGGCATGCCAATCTTTTTCCATATTTCGATTCTGTCGGTCAAATTATGCCTAAATATTAAGTTTTGTAATTTTTGGTGAGAAATTTAAAAATCTTTCTTGGCGCATTTTTTTCGGTTTGTGCAAAGAATAATTCACTTGGCGAACTTCTCAATTTATAACAATCTAGTTTTCTTTCCTTTTTTTTCATTGTACACGAGCGGGGCGATTCATTCATACTTTACATCATACGATACATCATCATTCATACTTTCAAATAATTTTAACAATGTGCGTAAACCACATTTGACATTATTATCGCTTATAACAAATATGCTAAATTTCAAAATGCGCCAATATATAAATTCACGTATATCTTAGGAAATTTTGAATAAAAAACACTAATTTTTTGCAGACATACTTAGAAGTACAGCTGCTTTAATATGATAGTGAAAATTTTATAGGTTACAATACAAAACGTTTTAAAAAAATTTCTAAAAAACAATTTAAAATACAAATTTAAAAAATAAATCATAAAAAATGTCCGAATTATATTTGGATTAAGCCTAAATTTCGAATTTTGGAAAAAGGAATCAAGTAAGTTTAATAATAATAAAAAAAAAAAAAAAAAAAAAAAAAAAAATATTAATAAATATACAAATTCAATTAACACTGAGGAGCTAAAATTTTGACGGCTAATTTTTAAAAACTATACGTGCGATTTTTACAAAACTTGGCAGTTTGGCATAATTTGAGTCATAGAATCGAGATATGGAAAAAAAATTGACATGGCATTTCAGAAAAAGTCCGTTTTTATGTCAAAATACCTATATTAGAACAACGCTTTATATATATATATGTATAATACATATCCTAAGTCGTTCTTTCGAGACATGAACGCAAGCTGAATCTTGTCAGTCGGCTCAGTAGAACTGAAGATATAAAACTGTCCCACCTTTTTTTTAGCAGTGTGCCTGTGCCGAACACCTTTTAGTGAATTTTTGTTATTCGCTAAAAAGTAAATTGTTCGAGTATGAACAAAAACATTCACTATTCGAGTATGAAGAAGTATATTTAGTGACTTTTTGTGAAAAAACATATTAGGCATCATATAAATGTGGTATGTGTAGTATAAGTTTAATCAAATGAAATACATTTTCTTTTCATTATAGTATTCACTTATTTTGTTAATGAATATTCATTTTCTTGGCCCGAACTTATCATGCATATCATGTGAAAAGTATCCGAGAACTTAAAATGAACCGTTAAGTAAATGAACCGTTAAGTAAATGAACCGTTAAGTTAATGAACCGTTAGCTTTAATTATTGAAGCACAAGTAGTGGCTAAAGAATTAAATTTTTTGAACAGCAGTACTTTCTTACTTGATTCGATTCCTAGTCACGGACTGCGTATGCTTTCATAGCGGTGTCACTTTAGTTCGTATGTCTAATACAGATCTGTAAATTCTAATCTAAATTTGTTCAGAATGCTGATTGAAATAAGATTTTAGTGATGTTGTTTCTGAAATCTTTCAGATTCTGACATACTTTTAATGCAGTTTTTAGGCAATTCAGGCACCATGCCAAAAAATAAAACTAATAAAAAATCTGATGTGTGCACCACATGACTTCCTTAGACGGAATATTAAATTATACGCATTTTTTCTTGCATTTCCTTTAAATCTACTTCGCTGGCAGCGCATAAACCACAATAGAATAAATGCATTCTTTAAAATTCACTCTATTTATTTACCATAGCGACACTTTGGCGCTAGGTTCACTTAACAGCAGTATATTTCGTTCATAATATAACTCAGAATGCACAAAATTTATATCATTTAAAGAATTATCTAATCGTTGCCATATGTTCTATTCAAGTACTATAATAAAGCTAGAACGATGTATAAAAGAAATTAAGCAAACAAAACAAAAAAGAAACAGTTTTTCGGCAGAGTATTTCTGATTCAATTAATTCAGTTCTCACTTCGCGACAAGGCAAAAATACATAAAAACTCAAAATATCTGTATTAAAATTACTAATTAATTAAAATTATTAAATTATTAAAAATTAATTATTAAAAATTAAGTAAATCATAAACACTTATTTTCCCGAAAAAATTCCAGAAAGGATTAAGCATGATTTAATTCGCAATAATAAATGAAGGCGTATCTTTGTTGTTGCGAAGCTACGTTTCTCTAGATTGGCAATAAATTCACTACTCTGCTGTTTCAAATGTAAACAAGCAATGGCCGCCATAAAAAAAATTGTTAGGATTAGCGGCACTTGAACAACTTTCAAATTGTTGATAATCCTAAAAATATTGCATACAGATTTACTAAAGGCATAAAAACCTTAATCGGAAGATAAGAACATAATTCAATCATTTTTAAAGCAAAAATTGTACAATTTACAAACATATAAGAGTAAAGAAACTGAGATCACTGAGCCGGGTAACAGAGTGGATATATTTATAAATATATTTATATACGTTTGGCGCGGCCGATTGCAACCAAAATACGAGATGCGCATCTACATGTTATAGTAGTTTTATATATAAACTTTTAGCATTCTGAGGCTACTGGTTTTTGAGTTATGCGAGATACGTCAAAATACCTATATTAGATATATAATTTTGAAATTATGTATGAACGTATGTACGTACCTACATACATTCGTACAGACGCCACGAAAAATTCTCTTCAGAATTCATTTTAAAAGCAGTTTTACAATTTTTTTTTTTGGGAGGGGGAAGTGTCCTTTATTCTGTCCTTACGTACAGATATCCACGCAAAAAGATCGTTAAATTGCATTCGATAGCGGTCAAAATGGATATTTTCGTTGAAATATGCTGCCTGAAACTTTTTGCGATTACAATACTTCCTTTTTACTTCGCACAAGGCAGTAAAAAGGAGAGCAAGGCTCGACATCACCTTTCAGAATTTATATGGGGAGTATTATTGTTATTATATATATTGTGTCTTTTATTTTTACATTCTCCCTTCATGAGCGGAATGAAATCATAGCTATGATCTTGGCGTAATCCTAAGGTCACCAAACAAGTTCGGGGGTCGCTATAATAAGGAAGGACCTAATTTGTTGTTTCTTCAGTGTGCGCATGATAAATGTAATCAATCTGTTCAAAAAAGAAAAACAAAAACTTTAATACGATATGCATTTTTGTATAAAAATTTTCAACTAAATTTTTCATTTATTTCTTTAGTTAGAGAATCAGGATTAATTCTTCTGCAAAGCATTCCTAACCATATTGATGTGGAAGGACTGACGAATAGGCTACTAAGCGAGGTTTGAGTTATTTTTTTATTATATTTTGAAATTTAAATAATTCTAATTCTTTGAAATATCTTTAACATATTTAACAAATTAGTGTTATAATAAATGGTATTATAATGAATTAGCGCCATATGGGATAACTTTATATACAGTTCGAGTATAATTATTTGCGCGAAATTAATATTCTCAAGACACGTAAGATTTTATTTTAATTCAACTTTTATTTTATTATATTGACTCTCCTGTAATTCTCCTTTTCGTCAACTTCCACCTGAACGTAAATATAAATGTGAATCTAGTTTCATTAGTTTATGGGAAAGTGACTGGCAGCTTAGGCTGACAGTTTTCTCTACCCTGTATTTCTGCTATTTGGACTAATCTTTCGCCAAAACTTGCTTGCTTTCTTTCGAAGTAATTAGTCAAGGGTAGCCGGCGTTTAAAGCGGATTTTGTTTAAACTTAATTTATGTTAAGAAGCTTGTTCTTTTACCCTCAAAATTATGAAAGTTCATTATCAACCATCAGCCGGACGTAGTAATATAAATATTATTGCGTACTTGCGTGCGTGCGAGCTCATAATGGATTGAATGCACGCAGAACAGATGATGACTTGATCAAATAAATTTTTTCAAAAGAAATACTGTACAGCTCTGAAACTTTTCACAAAAGTATTCGGACAGCTGTTCTCAGTATGACGGAGCACAATCAGTAGTTTCAAACTACTAAGAGTGTTAAATACTATGGAATGCAAAGCGCATCTAATGAGCGAAGCTTGTACGGAGATCTCTCAATATTCCGAACTCAACTCTAAACCAAAAACTGATAACTGATTTTCTCTCCGGCCTTATATATATTTCCACTGTCCGCTGAAAAATTTCCTGTGCCCTTGATTTCTCAAAACTGCTGGAAGGCATAGTTACATTTGCATATAGGTCCGAATACAGTTACAATTGCATATAAGGATCACACCAATTACAGTTTTGCAGGGATCAGAACAAAATATCGTCAATATTAGTCGAACGTCACAACGGTCGACACATATCTTCCTTTAATGAGCAGATTAAAAATATTAGATTTTTCCATAGTTTATTCCACCGGGAAAGAAAGTTGCTAACCTTGATTTTGGTGTACAATTGCTGATAATAAATATGTGCGTTTTATTTATTTATTTATTTATTTTTTCATTTAAATTTTAAGGTTTGTAAGTAGATTCAACCGATATTTTACTTCATTTTGTTGTTGCAGCAGATTTTTAAAATTTAAAAGAGAACTTAAAAACCTAATTGCAATTGAATATTACAAATTTAAACCAACAGAAAACTGTTTTTTCTGTTAAAATTAATAATTTTAACTGAATTCTCATAGTTCGCATTTGTAAATCTCTAAAGGTGCATTTCTCTTTTAGTTCCCTGATGTGCTTAACGTTCATGATCTGCACATATGGCGGTTGACGACATCCGATGTAATAGCAACTCTCCACGTGATTCTCTTCTCACCAGATGTCTACTCAAAGATCGAAAGCAGGCTGAAAGACTTCTTTTTAAAAGAAGGAATCTGTTCGGTGACCTTACAGCCGGAATTTCCTAACGTGAGCTTTTTCTCATAAACTCATAAACTTTCTCTCATTCATGTAAACACCGTTTTTACTGGAGAGGAAGATACTGGAATAGGACGATTTTAATTTTGAAACCAACACCATGAAACCTTTATTTTACAAACTAAGAGAATACCTTATATCGTTTATTATAAAACTGTCATTCTTACTTTCAGTTTTTCATTTTTATTTATTTGTTTATTTTTAACAAAGCATTTTTCTAGTGTTCTTGTCCCCCCCTTTTTTTTCCAGTATTCTAACACCGAGTTTCCGTTGCTCTTGAAACATGCTCATTGACGTAGCTAGAATAGTTTCTTTAGTGTTATCCTGAGTACGTCAGTATTCCCAGAATTATTAACGTAGTCTTGACCTTTCAGATAATATCAGAGAAAGTAGCCTGTATTTACAAGTCTGGACACAGTACTAGTCGCAGAAATTCTCTTGCTTTCAAATTTATATGAGCAGGAATCATTTGCTGAAGCGTATTCATGGATTCCTTATCAGATGTGATGTTATACACTGCGGGAAAAAGATGAACATAAATTCAATTTAAAAAAATAAAAAAAAAATCTTAAAGGTTTCAGATTTTAAATTACGTCCAAAGGGGCGTTCTTTTAACGTTTAGTGTGTTACATTTATTGATTAAATATCATGTTCTTCGCACTTAAACCATAAAATTCACTTTAATAGCAATGTCGCAAAATAATTTTAAAATGAGGCTATCTTTAGAATTTCCGATACACATTTCCGCGCGCTGGAGATAAAAAGTTTTTTTTTTTTTTTTTTTTTTTTTTTTTTTTCCCCCGCCGGAGATTGTTGCCATTGCTTGCTTTCAAATCGGTGAGTTTGTTACTCAAAAATTTGTTAAAGTTTTAGAAAATATGAAATCGATAATAAAACAAATTTCAAATTTGGTCTTCCACATGCCCATATTCGTAGAAGGATTACGTCAAATCAAAATTTGATGGCTCTATGTACCGTTTTTTTATCACAAGGCGAGAAATATGCATACACTTATGCAGATTTTTCATTATTTAATTTCTTCAAATATAATGCAGGACTCTAACATTTGGTCGCAACAGTTTGAAAAGTGAAACGGACATTTTCGGATTCAGCGCAAAATCGCAAAACGAAAACAATAGTCCTTCAGGGACAAAGCCTCTTTGGACTAAAAACAACAGTTTTATATCTCCCGTTCTACTGGGCCAATTGAGGAAATTCAACTTGCGTTTTTCATATCTCGAAAGCGCGACTTAGGATATATATTAGATTTATACATAGCATTGTTCTAAAATAGGTATTTTGACACAAATTCGGACTTTTTCTGATATGACATGCCAGTTTGTTTCCATATTTAGATTCTAGCACTCAAATTGCGCCAAATCGTCATGTTTTGTAAAAATCACAGGAGTTGTTTTTAAAAAATTAGCTCTCAAAATTTTAGCTCCTCAATGTTAATTGATTTCGGTATATATTTAGTAATATCTCTTTTTTTATTAAACTTATTTGATTCTTCCTTTCACATTTCGAAATTTATGTTCGTTCCGAATAAAATTCGCCCATTTTTTTATGATTTATTTTTAAGTCTGTATTTTTAAATAATTTTTATAAATTTCGAAAAACATTTTGAATTATGATCTATACAATTTTTACCATCATCTTAAAGTAGACGTATTTCTAAGCATACCTGCAAAAAAATTAAGTTCTTTATTCAAAATTGCCGAAGATATACGTGAATATTGGCGCGTTTTGAAATTTGGCATATTTGTTGAAAGCGATAATAACATCAAATGTGTTTTAGGCACTTCGTTAAAATTATTTGAAAGGATGTAACTTCTTTCGATGTAACTTTTGTTTCCGCTTATGCAGAATGTAAAGAATGGTTTTTTTTTTTTTTTTTTTTTCCCCCGTGCTGCACAAAGGAAGGGAAAAGAAAATGGGTTGCCATATACTAATCTTCCCGCATGCGCGCTTTGCAATTTTACATGAGCACGCGCGCGTCGTATTTTTTACGACATTCGTTATTTTACCGTTTTAGGCCCGAAAAACTGAATGAATATTGATAATAAATTTGTTAAGAAATAAAATATTAATCTTATTATTGCAAAATACAAATGATATCACATTCAAATGTAAGTAAATATTTTTAAGTTCTTATGTTAGTGAGATGGAAATGCAAGATGTATTCATTACAGAAAATTTAATTTATATTTAATAATTATATTTTTAAATCGAAGCTAATTTTAAATTCATCAAAGGTAAGTATAGACAAATACAAAAGGAAAAAACCTTGGTAGGAAAAAAAAAAAAGTAATTTTTAGCATTATTTACTACTTTTGCAAGGAAATTACTTCTTACTGGTTACAAAACTATTTTTAAACTAACTTTAATATTTTTATTTATTTCTAAAAATAAAATAAAAGAAAATAAGGAATGGAAATCGCTATTGTTTCCCATCCAAAGGTTTCCTTTCTTCCTTTTCTTCATCAGATAGTTCTTGAAGAATGCTAGCAAAATCAGCTGGTGCACATATTTTTTTGCCATGAAAACCGATTATAAATTTACAGATCCAAAGTATTCAATTAAATAATACACGGTAATAATAACATTAAAATATTTGAGGAAAAAAAATATTTTCCAAATTTTCACCCACAAGCACGCGCGTGTCGTAAACTTTACGAAAAGGCTGCCACGTAGGACAAAAGCCCAGTAAAAAAAAAAAAAAAAAAAAAAAAAAAAAAGTCAAATGACTTTCTGTTGGCACATTCCATGATGTGGGGAAAGGTAGAAAGGAGGAATAGAAATGACCTTCAGACGTCTCAGCTTCGATATGCGAAAAATGTGCATTAAAAACTGAATTTTTCGTAAATTTTGCACATACGCTCGTGTTGGAAGGTTAAGAAGTTCGCCAAATGAATTATTCTTGCCGGAAAACTCAAAAAAATATGCCATGATAAATTTGTGAATTTCTCCTTAAATTTCGTTCCAAATTGTACAAAATTTAATATTTGGGCATAATTTGAATCGTAGAATCGAAATATGGGAAAAAAATTGGCATGTTATTTCAGAAAAAGTCCGATTTTATGTCAAAAACCTATGTTAGAACAATTACATATATAAATCTAATATATATCCTAAGTCCCGCTTTCGAGACATGAAACCCACAATTTGAATTTCGTCAATCGGCCCAGTACAACGGGAGATATAGAACTTATTTTTTTTTTTTTTTTTTTTTTTTTAACCCCGCTTAGTACCATTTGGAGCCCTCGCTATCTATTACAGAGTGGTATAGGTATTCAAGCAAGAAAGTTCAATAGCATCTATATAGACCAAGTAAATATCACCGTGATTGAATACCCACCCATCTTTAAATAATTACGGGCCTTTGATTGCAAAGCTTGCTATATTCCACCAGAATGCAATATGGGAATTGTTCAGTGAATGCATGCTTGTATGAAGCAGCTTGAGATATGCATTATCTTAATAACAGTAACTTATTTGGTTATTGCATCAGATTCTGCAGAAAGCATTTAAAATATATTGTAAAAATGTGTAAATATCTTTAAAATTTGTCAATTTTAAACGGATTTAAGAATATTGTGTTCAAAATTAAGAAGTTGAAGAGAGAATTGGAACTGTCGTAACAAATGAAGTCATATAACCTTTGGTTTTGAAAAGTAAATGCGCTTTTCAATTATATTGTTATATTATTTTTATGGCGTTGCTTCCTGTCTCAGAATTATCTGTTTTTATGGCCGTTTGATACAATTTCTAAATGGAATAAGCTGTGTTTCATTCTTGTATTAGACCAAAATTTAAATCATTTGAAAAAAAAAAAAAAAGTCAACCCAAGGGATGTATTTTACTAGTAGTTGACAAGAGAAAATAAGCTAGAATCTCAGAAACAGTTAAGGATTTTAGGCACCATTTCATGAGTCGCCCAGGCGGTATAGTGGTTAGGGGAGTAAACCGCTGAGTTGGCTTCCGACCCAGGTATAGATTTGCAGAATTGGTTACCAACTCAGCGGGAGTCAACCACTAGCTGCCAGGCCACAGCCCCGGCTGAGCAGACGACATTTATAAAATGCAAAAAAGAAATATACACGTGCAACAAGGCAGGTCATACAAGGCACTTGAAGAAAGTACATCAAAATTTGTTTATACATATAGAACCAACTCATATCATAATATACACATTACATACATATATATTACGAAACAATAAAGATACATACTCTCACTCATTATTATCAACATCGATATATATATGTTATCATGATAGTTAAATTTACATGAGCATGCCATGAGACGCGTGATCCTTATATAAATAAGGTACCGAAGATTATACATGTACATACATTACAGCATTCAGATACATACGAACTTTTATAAAAATCCTGGCACAGCACAAACAAAATTACATATTGAAATCATTCCATACTTGTTGCTAAAATTGAACTAGCTATATAACTTTGCGACACTAACTCCAGCGTCAGAAGATATTCTAGTACAGTAGTCTTAGTTTTTTCAATTCCGCTGAAACCTGTTACTTTGTGATTCTGGAACCAATTTGGCCAGATCTGACTCCTGGTTGCTTGAGGCTGTTAATGCTGTGTGGCAGGAGAACACAAAATGGTCTGGATGACCCTCCTCCCCACATTCACAGTTACCATTCTCTCTCAAGCCAAAGTGGCAGAGGTATGAAGGGAAGGGCCCGAGCCTATTACGGTACCGAAGGGCCCGGGTTCGAATCCCGGAAATGATATGGTTGTTCATAAGTGTATAGTGTCGTTACGGCATCGCGGCACTCCAAATATGCGGAGAGCCGAAAGTTCTCTCGTGTGGATTGGTGAAAGGGGAGAGAAATGGAAGACCCCCGGATCCCCATCGGGGTAAAAAAAAAGTCCAACCTCTTTTTGGAGTAGGCTCTGGCAACCATTGTTCCATGTAATATGTATGGACAAGACAACAACAACCAACCATTTCATGATCATAATAATTAGGCACTATCTCATGATTTGATTTAAAAATAAATATTTATGTAGGAGGGTTTCACACTTTTCCATCATTTAGATTCATTTTTCCACGATTTCG